ACCCTTGGTGGGTGGAAGTCTGAGTTTGTGCCTTGCTTAAATGTCTTCTCATTTTTGTTTTTGGTACTGTTCTTGGTTTAACTCCTGGGGTGATCATTTGAAATTGCTTATTGTAGGTATCTTTGTTGCTTGTAATTAGAACCCTTATGGAATGATTGCTTCTCAGAGGTGTCTTCCAGATGTAGCTGGTCTTTAAGTTTTGAGTCTCTAATGACTCTAAGGCTATCTCATTTTCCGTATACTAGGAAGGTTCATTGACTAGATCAATACGCACACCTTAGCCCAAGTGATACAATTAGCAACACCACTGCATCAAGTACATCTTTGAAAATGACATTTTGTGGTAGTTATTAATCTATCACCTTTAGCTGTGTGAATTAAATCAAGATCAAGGACCAACCCAACATATAGTGAATAAACTCTTCAATATAACAACTTTACCCTTTGGGATGGGGAGTTAGAAGGGGTTGGGGAGGGAGGGATAGATGAGAAGAAGGATAGGGGAAGGTTAGCAGTGTGGTCAGAGGACACAGGCGAGAAGGAAAAAGAGACTACTAGGAAAATAAAGAAGAACTCCGAACGAGGACCAAAACAGGGACAAAAAGGGAAGATGAACAATGTGGGAGAGCAACAGAGTGAGTGTAAGAGAGAGAGAAAGGAAAGAGAAAAGAAAGAAGAAAAGAAAAAAAGGAGAGAAAAACAAATATTTGCAAAGAGCAGGGAAAAAAAATTAAAGATAAGAGGAGCAAAAGAAACGAAAAGAGAAAAAAAACAAAGTAATGAAACTAATTTTGGGAATAAAAAATAACCATGAAGATGAAGGGCCTCTTTCAGGGTATGTCTCTGCTGTCATAATAGACAACGTGGGTTGCAGTGTGCAGATATAAGTCAATGAGTCTCAGCAAGCTAGTTGCAGACCCATGAGATTCAGGCAGATTTCTGGCTGCAAGTCCCAAGTTGAGCTCCCTGTCCTCCTGTAGGGTTGAACTCTGCAGAGTTGTATTGCTGGTTCCAGGTGCCCTTCCCCTGAAGATAGTCCCAATCCTGATGGGAGGTGAAGATGACTCCAACTTACCCAGTACAGTGGTCTGGTGGTCCAGTGTCCTCTGCATCTTTGTAGTGTGGAACCAGGTGGCTGTACAGAGGACCGGGGGGGAGGGTGTCCAGTGGATTGCTGCCCAGGTGCGGGATGATTTGGCACATTCCATGCAACTCGCGACGTTGCTAGGGTGTCTGCAGACCTGCCTGTCTGCAGCGGGCTGATTCCTGAAATCTTACCTTTCAATAACACTGTTGATATAATAAGGGAAGTAACTGCACAATTTGCAGACAGTTGACTAACAATATGGAGTCTTTTACTATTTAGGTAGGAGCCTGAGTGCGTGGGAATAACTCACTAACAGAAGCCATGTTTGTAGAGGAAAGACAGATCTCTATTTGCATTTCAGCCTTGTTATTTCTTTCCAGAATATCTTTCAGAGCACTTTGGAGTGCTGGTTTGGTGGTCATGAACTTCTTCACGTGTTCTTTGTCATGGAAGTTTCTTATTTCTCCATCAATTTTGAAAGACAATTTTGTGGGGTACATGAATCTGGGTTGGAGGTTGTTTTCCTTTAGGGCTTAAAATACTTCACTCCCAATCTCTCCTTGACTTGAGGGTCTGTGTTGATAAGTCTGCTGTGATTGTGATGGGCTTTCCTTCATAGGTGATTTGTTTCTTTTCTCTAACAGCTTTTAATATTCTATATTCTGTTCTTGTGTTGAATTTCTGGTATCTTGACTATTAGATGCTTTGGGGCAGATTTTATTTTATTTTTTTTTGATCATGACTAACTAAAGGTCTATATGCCTCACTTATCTGTATGTCAAATTCTTTTCCCCTGTTTGGGAATTTTTCTGCCATCATTTCTGTGAACAGGTATTTTTATGTCATTTGTGCTACCTCATGCTTTTTCACTGACTTCGATCAAGCTTATGTTATTCTTCTTTTCATCATCTAGCAGCTGCTGGATTCTCATGGTCCCTTGCTATTTTTAAGAAATCTTTCTTTTCATGATTACTAACCACAATCCTGTCTTCTATATCTGATATTCTGTCCTCATATTGCCTTATTCTCCTGCATATACTTTCAGTGGAGTTTTTAATCTCCTGGGTATCTGTGTTTGAATCTGTTTCATGGATTCCATTTCTTCCTGTGCTGGGCATTCATGGTTTCCATCATTTTCCCAAGCTCCTCTATTTTTTATCTGTCACTAAGCATCATCTTTCATTCTGGTCACCATCTCTATAGCTATCTGAAAAATTATCCCTGCTTTGATTTTTTCTAGAGCCTTGTTCATCTGCTTTGTTACTTCTGCAGTTACCATTTCAGAGGGTGCAGGTGGGTGGCTTTCAGACTGTTCCACCTCATTGCCTCCTGGGTTTGCCTTCGGTGAGATGAAAGTTGGGCTGGGGGTCGGGGCTTGCATCTTGTTGAAGTATCTTCTCATGTTTTTTTTAAAGTTCAATTCCTGGGTTGATGCTTGTAAACTGTTTGTGTAGAGCAGCTTTATTGCCAGTATTCAGAACCCTTAGGAAATGACTACTTCTCAGAGGTGTCTTCCAGGTGCAGCTGCCTTTTGGGTTTTAAGTGTATTGTAAGATCATACCTCTTCAATTTATTGGGGATGAGAAGTTTCTGCCTACTTGGCCCAGCTGCCAGTTCTTTGGCACTGGCCTATGGTTTTTTTTTTAAGAACCTTAGGCAATCTCAGTCTTGGTACACCAGGAAGAACAACTGATTAACAGAATTATGTCACCTTGTCTAAAGTAGTACAATCAGCAATAACAATAGCATCAAACAGCCTAGAAAATGACAAACTGTGGTAACTCTTAGTTTGCCACCTTTAACCATATGAACTAGATTTGTGGTTATATAACCAAATCTATAACAAACCAGAAAATTCTATGCAGTAAATAAACTTTTAATACAGTGACTTTACACTTGGGGAGAAGATTTAAAAGGTGTTTGGGGGCCAGGGATTTAGCTCAGTGGTTTCACCACCTGCTGCGCAAGCACAAGGACCCGAGTTCGATCCCCGGTACCAAAAAAAAAAGGGGGTTTGGGGAAAAACAGAGAAATAGAAAAAGAGAACGAGATTAGAAGGCTGGAGGACAAAGGAAGGAAATTAGCGAAAAAAGACAGAAGGGAAAGAGAAATAAACAAATAAAAACAAAAATAGAACAGAACAAGAAAACTAGAAACCATATACAAACAATCAAGAAAAAACAAAACAAAACAAGAACAAAACCAGGAAAGAGGAAAAAAGAAAGGAAAAAAGGAAAGAGAAAAAAAAGTCCACTTCAAAGTGTCTCTCTGCTGTCACTGGTAGACAACATGGGAAGACAGAGTTCAGAGCCAAATTGATTAATCCCAACATGCCAGCCGTAGCTTTACAGTGGTTTAGTAGATAATTCCAGACAGCATGTACCTTTAGTTCCATTGAAGTTCAGACTGGTTTCTGGCTATGAGGCTAGAACTAGATTTATTGAGCTTGAAACAGTCCATGTGCCTCCTGCTGGCTTGAACTCTTCTCCCTTCTGACTTGAACTCCACTCCCTGACCTCCTGCTCACTTGATCTTGGCACCCTCACAAAACACTGGGAGCCACTAGATGGAGTTGGCCCATAACTGTACTGAGTTCCAAGCTCAGTTGGCCCTTCTCCAAGATGGCTACCAGCCAATTGCCCCGTCCTGGGTGATGTCTGAACCCAAATAACTTACCAACCACTGTAGTCTATGGTGTCCACTGTTCTGTTCCACAGGTGCGTTTCTCCATGGACGCCTCTGGAGTCACCAGTAGTCACCATGCCTCTGCAGGTTCAGTCCACCACTCCCACATCGTGAGTCTGGGCTGTGGGAGAAACTACTGCTTGCTACCTCCCTTCTCTTCATTGAAGTCTCTCTCTTCACTCTCCCCATAGACTTCAATTCTCACTTCAGATACTTCCTGGGTCCCAGGGACCCACTTCCCTCCTTCTCCTCATACCGCTATATTCCAGTGTTAGGACACCAAATCTTGGAGAGGCTCTTTCTTTACTGCTCACCACTCTGCCATCTTCCCAGAAGTCCATGCATCACAGCCTCACCAGTCACTGGCTCTTTCCATTTTAGAAAAGTTACTAAAATTTATAGGATCTTTACTTTTCTATAATCAAATGGTGACAGCTACATCTACTTTGCTTTATAGTAAGATTAGTAACATGGAAAGCACCTAGCACATAGTAAGTGCTAAGTGAGTGACAGTATTATTATTGTTAGTTTTACTGATATAGGGGAAAATATAACTCCCAATCTGCTAGACGTCAAATATGCTGAGTTTGTGTCTCCTGAAATTGAAGAATGAATTCTAAAGGAGAATGGAGATTAAGTGTAGGAAAGGTTTACTGGGAACAGAAATAACTCCTGAGAGACAGGAGGGGTTCCAGAAGTGGGTGGCCACTGAGGCCCTTTGTCAAGGGTAATTTATACAGCAAAGTCACAACATGGGTACAATGTGGGTTAAACTGCCATCAACCTATAGGATTACAAGTATAGCTGCTTAGCTAATATTGGTCTGATAGGGAAGTGGATCACATAGCAAGGGTACATGGAAAGAACAAAGGCATTTTTGGGAAGGGATGGGTCCAATGCTCCAGTCACCCACCTGGTGACTGATGTCTATCTGGACTTTACTGGAACAGATGGTACTAATTACAGTATAATTCCAAGTTACTGTTTATCCCTTGGGGAGGCATATAGGCCTGGCCATTCCATCTTTATCTTGGCCTACTTCATATGTACCTGCAGCCTCAATTCTTGTATCTTTATTTTTTTGCTGACTTCTTTGAGAGCACAGTCCCTCTCTGACTGTATATTAATTTTTATGTAATACAGCTGCCTATAATATTATGTTCAGAAAATAGGTCATGCAAAGGGAAGTAAGTCCAAATAATATAAAATTTTAATGGTAATTAACTAGCATAATTATTAAACTGTAAAATCATTTTTGTGTATACTAACCATAAATAAAACTTGGTCTACTGTCTATTCAATACATGAAAGGATATATGCTTTGCCCTATTCTTTGTGTCCTTTTGCCCGCAAAATGGGCTGTTGTAACTAAAATAATTTTGTCATAGGTATTGCAACTATGTATATTTTCAGACCTGCGAAGAACATCCAATCAATTGTATTGAGCAGAATTGTTTTTTCTAGACTTAACAGTAGACATTTGGGCTGAAATTAAGAAACAACATTATGAGCAACAAAATATTACTGAAGAAATAGTTGAGAGTTTCTATCCTTAAATATTTTTAAGATAACATGTCATTCTCTGTGGTGGAAATTCCATAATTTGTGGTAGCCAGTCTCTAGGATAGTCTACAATGATCCTTGCTTCCATAGCATTTATGCCCTTCAGTAATCTGCTCAAATTCAATTAAGGCTGGTACTGAATACGGCAGAGATGATGTGTGAATTTCAAGGCTTAGTCATAAAAGGCATTGCAACTCCTGCTTTGGTCTCCTAGGTTAATCACTTGCTCCAGGATAAGTCAGTTGTGTGCTGTGAGGACATTCAAGCAGCCCCGTGGAGAAGTCCATGTGGCCAACAGTCTTTGCAACTCACCAAACATGTCAGAGAATCATCTTGAAAGTGGATTCTCTGTATCCAGTCAAGTCTTCAGATGAATGCAGTCCTTGCCAACATCTGACTCCAAGCTTTTAAGAGACTGAGACAGAACTTCCTGAATCACTCCTGAATTCCTGACTCCCTGAAATTAAGAGATAATGAATAATTTTTATAATCTTAAATCACTAAGTTCTGAGGGTATTTATTATGCATCAATAGTTCATATTATCAATAAATATTTATGATACTATACAAAATATCCTGCTTATGGGCTGAACCACGTGATCACTCAAAGTAACTCTTGCTTTATAACTTTAATGTTTTAATAGCTTAACATTAACAATTTAATAGCTTAAATTCTACACCTTATAATATTCTCACAAAACAAGAAGAACATGCCAATCAAATATGTAATGAACATGCATTAAATTGAAGGTATTATTCTAATTCCTATGAACATATATGCCTTTGAAGACTAAATCTTCAAGAAAAAGAACATCTGAACAGATCAATAGGACTAAAGAGATTTAAGAAGTAATCAAAAATCTCCCCAAAAAGCAAAACCTAGGGTCATATAGTTCACAGGTGCATTCTACCAAGCATTTAAAGAATTAATCCAAATCTTCAAATTCTTCCAAAAATTGAAGGAATATTTCTAAATCTCACTTTATAAGTGACTTTATTACTACTGTCATATCAAAACCAGATCAGAATACCACAAGAAAATTACAAGTCAATTTCCCTGCTGAACAGATGGAAAAATTCTCAACAAATACTAAAAAACCAAATTCAACACCACATTAAAAGGATCAGACACCATGATAAATTATCCGAATTAGGAATTAGGAAAACAATCTCATTTATGACAGCACCAAAAGCAACACAAAACAAAATTTATGGATAAACTAAGGGAATGAAAGATCTGTACTCTAAAAACTATAAGTCACTGACAAAATAACCTAAGGAAAGCACAAATAAATGAAAGATATCCTATGTTCACAGACTGGAAGAATTAACACTGTTAAAATGTTTATACTAACCAAAGCAATCTCCAGATTCAACACAGTCACCATCAAAATTTCAGTGGTACTGTTTTCTTTTTAAACAGAAATATAAAAAACAATTCTAAAGTTTGTATGGAAACTACAAAAGACCTCAACCAAACTTGAAAAAAAAAAGAACAAAGTTAAACTATCACACTTCCTGATCTCAAATTATATTAGAAGGGTGTATTAATCAAAACGGTATGGTACTGTCATAAAAGTAGACATACAGACCAATGGAACAGCATAGAGTCCTGAAATAAACCCCCTGTAATCAATTGATCTTTACATGATCACCAAAATATGCAATGGGGAAAGGATGGCTCTTCAACAAATGGTACTGGAAAAACTGGCTATCTACATCAACAGTATGAGACGGTATACTTGTCTTACATCATACACAAAAATTAACTTGAAATGGATTAAAGACCTAAATGCAAAATCTGAAATTGTAAAATTTCTATAAGAAAACATAAGGAAAAGTTCTTTAACATTGCCAATGATTTTTTTTCTTTTGGATATGGCACAAAATCATATGCAACAAAAGCATAAATAAACAAGTAAGACTATATCAAACTAAAAAGCTTCAGCACAGCAAAGGAAGCAATCAACAAAATGAAAAGGTGGCAGACATGGTGGCACATGCCTGTAATCCTAGCACTCAGAGGATCCTTGTGAGTTTGAGAGCAGCCTGAACTTCACAGCAAAACCCTGCCTCAAAACAACAAAATAAAAAAAAAAGAAAACAACAAAACAAAGAAAAAGAAAAGGCAATCAATGGTAAAGGACAAAATATTTGCAAACCATATACCTGATAAAGGGTTTATATCCCAAATATATGAGGCTTTCACAAACCTTAATAATAGCAAATAAATAAATAACCTGATTAAAAATGGGCAAAGGATCTGAACAGACAATTCTCCAAAGATACATAAATGGCCAATAGGAACATAAAAATATGCTCAATATTATTGCTCATCAGCAAAATGCAAACCAAAACCATGAGATAATCATGTCACATGTTAGGATGGCTATTATCAAAAATACAAGAGATAATGGGTTGTTGAGAATATGGAGAAAAGGGAATCCTTATATATGGTTGGTGGGAATGTAAAAGAGTATAGCTATTATGGAAAATTGTATGGAGGTTCCTCAAAATACTAGAAATAGGACCATCATATGACCCAGCAATCCTGTTTCTTGGTACATATTCAAAGGAAATGATATCAGTATCTTGAGAAAACATCCACCCTCCTATGGTCAGACCAGCATCAGTCACATTAGCTGAGATACAGAAACAATGTAAGTGTACAGACAAGATGAAAAGATAAAAAATGTTTTAGATAGCCAAAAAAATGTATACACACTTCAGCAGTTCACCATACTAATAAATTTCCAGAAGCTAATGGCCACCTCTTTGAACACCTCTTGTAACTGTGGAGGCCAAAGGTAACTTGGATTAATCTCATGATGTCTCAATAAATTTAGTATTAAAATATTATGCAAGTTTTTCTTTTCCTGAAGTGTATATACATTTTTTTGGTTTCTCTCTCTCTCTCTCACACACACACACATATATATATATATTTGAAAAGGTAGTCTCAGTGTTCTGTTGAATGAAAGGTATGATGTTAACAATAACAATAATGTAATGATAGGTATTACTGTTAAGGCATCTCCTTTGTCTTATTTAGATACTTACATATATTCTCATTTATTGATATATATTGCCAAATGCATTCCAGAAAGTTCATACCAAGTTATATTCATGTTTTCAGTGTGTAGTAAGGATAGATTCAGCACTGTGCTTTATCAGATGGAAAATAGACTATAGTGGTTTAATCTGCATTTATTTGATTACTAGTGAGTTTGAGCTTTTAAAAAAGGAATTACTAGTGTTTTATGTATCTTTTTGGACTTGTATATTCATACCTGTTTATTTTTACTGGTCTGAAAGTGATCTTGCCATGTTAAAACTTTAAACATTAAACTTCTGACATATATTACTACTACTTTTTCCCAGGTTGGCACTGTTTTCTTGACATATGAAAAATGAAAAAAAATTTTTGCTTAAATTCTTTTATTGGTACATTTTAGGTATACAATATGTTTACATTTATCATTGGGTGCTTGTACCTGTACATGATGTATCTTGGTTCTTACTTTTCCCCCATTCCTTGTGTTCCCTTCCCCTCCTCCACCCTTCCCTATTTACAAAGACTTTGTTTCCATTGTTGCCTTTTCTCATAATTTTTCCTTTCCCTTCTATCCTTTCCCTTTCCCCTACCCCTTTGGACCTTTTTTTCCTATTTCAAATTATCGATTATTCATTTTAATCATTTTAATCCTTATTTACACTTTCAGTTTCTCACACTAGAGAAACTATTGGTATTTACACGTGTGTCTTATTTGAAAATTTTTATATAGTCAAGTCAACCTGTTCTTTTGTAAAGTTCTCCCAATTCTTTTCTTTTTCCTGGTACTGGGGATCAAACTCAGGACCTTGCACTTGTGAGGCAGGTGGCAGAACCACTGACCTATATCCCTGGCCCCAATCATTTTATAATTAGAAAGGCTATCTCTAGATCAATTAAATATTCACTTGTATTTTTCTAGATTGTGTTTTAAAAATACACTTTTTTTTTTTTTATTGGAGGAAACAGTTGAAAGTCTTTTTCTACATGGTTAATCATGTCTCCTTTACTTCTATTGAAAATTATGCCACTGATTTGTGATGTCACCTTTATTATCAAGAAATTGTTGTTTTTTTCCTTCTGGTACTAGGGATTGAACCCAGAGCCTTTGGACCGAGCTACCTCTCTAGCCTTTTAAAAGAATTTTTATTTTGAAACAGGATCTCACTAAGTCACTAAGCTGCTCAGGCTAGGCTCCACCTTGTGATTCCCCTGCCTCAAACTGAGTGCTGGATTTACAGGTGTGTGCTACCACACTCAGCTTCTAAAGAATTCTTATACAATGTTATGTGGGTATGTTTGCTTGTTTGTTTTGCAAAGTTAACGTTTTTATTGAACTGAAATCAGTAAAGAACAACGGGGGCTGCCACAGCTGCTGAGCTCAGTGACAAGTGAAATGCCCCTGGGACATTTTACCTCTGAGAGGCCTAACACAGTTGGGTGGAACAACTGAGAAACAGCATATAGATATATATGTATGTGTGTGTGTGTGTGTGTGTATATATATATATATACATTTTTTTTTTAACACTTCAAAATAGTTTGAAATGAGTCTCACACCCTTGTTGTTTTCAGGTTACAAAGAACACTGACAACATCTTCTGCCACCTTCATTTAGTAGTGTCAGTTAATATTCTTTCCCAAAATGTTCCTCTCAAAGTAGTGGCTACATTTTTCCCCCATCCAGGACACTTTTCTCATGTGTAACACTTGGGCAAGTAATAAACTGCAAGAATTTTCAAAGTAGTGAAGCACACGTCACAGCCATAGAGACAACACGCATGCTGCCGTGAACTGGCCAGAGATTCTACCGAGTTCTGGGAGCAAAGGACACGCTGAGGGAACGGCTAAGTCACCCACAGAGTCTGAACTGATGGGCCGTTTGTGTCTAGACCTCACTTTAACATCTTGCATTTGTTTTACATAATAGGGTGAAACACTTTAAGGGAAAAGAAAGCTCCTATAAAGGTTATAAGATGAATCAGAGAGGAAAGCAAATTAATAATGAATTTTTATAATCAATGCATTGAGCAATGATAAAAACTGACCACACCAATAACCTCTGTGACAGAACTACTGAACATCTTTTACTACTTAAAGCTTTGAAAGTTAACCTTTTTAAAGCATTTCAAGGGAAATAAATAATCGACAAGATTGGAGGTGAAATCCCTACATTAAAAACCCAGATGTATTTAATGTTTTTAAAATCTGGTTTAAATTAGCTGCTCACTTAATACAGAATAATTTGTGGGTGTTGGTAAAAATCTTCAAGATTTCAATATGTGGGTATGTTTAATGAGCTTTGTAATCTCTATTGGTTTGGGGGCTGCTGCTATACTGTTTAATTACTAACTTCTGTTCACTTATCATGAACCATTACATTCTCCTTCAAGAAGCTTCCCTATTTCTTCCTAAAAGATATGCTTGTTCTCTTTCTTCATCTTTATCACATATAATACTCCATCTTATAAACACAATTAACAGGACTGAGCTTATCCAATTACATTCTTGAGGGCCAGGAACAAGTGTACAACATGTAATCATTAAAATTAGATTAATGGGATTTGCATTAAAAGGGAGTGATGGCGTAACAGCTTTAGTGTGAGAAAAAAATGAAAGCAGGCAATTCTCTTATTCATGTGGTGTCCATTATGAAACAATTATACTGATAAGTGAACCCTAGTCTCTGCCTTAGGCAGTTCTCCACTTAAGGAAAAGAGCCGTATGTATAAACATGTCATTGAATACAGTGTGACTAACAAAATAAGCATGTACAAGGAAGGAGAAACTCAGTGAATACTAGGAAGTGTTTCAAAGTAACATACATATGAGATGGGTTAATGGTGTTTCTTTAAATGTCAAAGAAACTTCTAAGCAACTTGATAAAACGCACCAGTTTACATTGGTTTATCCTTCTGTCTGAGAACTTTTCACAGTAGTTTGGATAGGACGGGCAAACTGAAGCAATGCACCCAGGGCTCTGCTTGGAAGCTGGTTAACAAAGACCTGACCCGACTAGAATGGATAGAGTGGAATGTTAGCCAATGAAACATACGTAACGTGATGAAAATCAGAAGATGAAGACAAGATACAAACCTTTTCCTGTCAGATTTCTCATCTATAAGCCACTTACTTGAGTTGGTTTAAAGGCAATACACACTGCCTGGGGCTCCTGTGAGAGCAGGTGAGCACAATCCCAGGCATCATTCTCGTCTTCTGGCCAGCACACTCAGGCCCAAAACCTGTCTAGACCAGATGTGAAGGCCAGACCTGACGTCACGAAAACGTGACGTCATCGGCACTGACGAAAGTTCACAGGGAGGGGCCTCGCAGCTCACCTCCGAACACCGCGGGCTCCACCGAGCTATGAATTGGCCGCCTCCCATTTTACCCTGAGGGTCTGACAGTCAGAGCTGCGGAAGCTGGGTCGCCGCAGGAGCCCAGGAGCTGTGGCCTTCTTCCTTCCCGCGTCTTCTGTAAGACCTAGCAGCGGTCTGGGCCTCGGCGCGCTCACCGGCTGCCACTCGATACGGTTACGCGCACGCACGTTGGTACGCACGCTCTTTCCCCTAAGAACCCGGAAGTGCGAGGGAGAGCAGAGCCACGTGGGTCGAGCTGGAGCGCAGTTCGCATGGGGGAGTCTATCCCGCTTGCCGCCCCGGTCCCCGTGGAACAGGCGGTGCTGGAGACGTTCTTCTCTCACCTGGGTATCTTCTCTTACGACAAAGCCAAGGACAATGTGGAGAAGGAACGAGAGGCCAACAAGAGCGCTGGGGCCAGCTGGCTGTCGCTGCTGGCGGCCTTGGCGCACCTGGCCGCGGCCGAGAAGGTCTATCACAGCCTCACCTACCTGGGGCAGAAACTAGGTACCTCCGCCCCGCCCCCTGCCCCTTGAGGAAAGAAAGGGGGTATATTACACAGGCGGCAGTGGCTTGGGTTCCCCGTCTCTGTCGCTCCTAGCGGCAGGCTCAACTGGGTTTCCTCCCACCGTTGCTTTCCTTCCCTCGGCTTTCACAAACCCCGCCCACCTGCCCGCTCCGCAGTTAGATTGGCGGATCCCGCGACCCGAGGGGTTTACTCTTTTGCCTCCTGCATGGATTGGTGTCATAAATGAGAAGTGAACCAAACTCAGTCCTCGTCCTTCTAACTAGTGACACTGCAGTCAGAGGACCAAAACTTGACAATTCAACCTAGTTGTATTAATGAAGAATACTTTTCTGGCCTCTTCAGGTTAAGGGTCTTGAATGTTAGAAATGGAGCCCTTGTCCCTCTTCATATTTCCTCAGAACATATTTAATGAATGAAGAATAAATGAGTACTGGGCAAGAAAGGCAAGAAATGTGCCAAACCCTAGAAGAGGCTACTTAAGGGGGAAATGGTAGATACTCAGAACCTTGTGTTAAGTCTTGCCCCTGAAAATAAGATACAGGAGCTCATTCAACCGACTTTCAGTAGTAGCAACAACGGGTACAACTGGTATGAACAAGTATGAGTGGATAAAAAGGAAGTAATGTAGGAGCAAGGGCTATACATACAGAGTGTTACTTATAATAATGACAATCCTACGGCGTTTGGGATGTTTTAGTGCTTTGGCCTATTTTGGACACTTTAAATATGAGAGGAACAGGAGCCTGGTATGAAGGAAGGGCACCTGTACAGAATATAAAGAGTAGAAATGTAAAATTGGGTGTAAATTTAATTTTTATTTCCCCCTTACATTTCCTGAAGAGATCAGTTGGTAAGCTTTTGGTAAACTCTAAAGGGACAGGGCTTTCAAGATCTTCATGCTGTAGCTATTCACATAACTTGTTTAGTATGTAGATTTATAGGCAAAAAGCTGTTTCACTGTGTGTGTGTGTGTGTGTGTGTGTATGTATATGTCCCCCCCCTTTTTTTTTTACAGTGGAATCGCTTACAAATGTGCAATTGCTCTTACTATGTTATAGTTCTCCTTTGTAAGAATTAGCAAATTGTATATGCCATTACGAGGTGATGGAGCCCAAATCTGAAACCTGCCTTTAAATTATCAGGTTGAGCGTATTCATATAACTTGTTAAAAATGTTTACATATAATTTATGTATGTTTTATATATATATTTATAAATGTGTTATGATGATGAAAATGGAAAAGGATTCCAGCTGTAATTGAAAGTGGATAATATTCTGGCAATTCTAGTTGTTTTTATATTCCCCCACCTAGAAAGAATGGTGATTGATCCAAGTGCCGTGATCCTTTGACAATGATGATGATTATTCATTCATCAGTAGGAATTTGATGAAAACTGAGTACTTCTCAGGAAAAATAAATGTGTGTACATATTTTGTATATGTGAAGGGAGGATCAGTTGGATTTCCTAAGACCTGCCCTGTATGTAATAACATGTGTATGAATTCTTCACTTCTCCTATTTGGGGTCTGTGAAGTGGCCCTTAATTATGCAAAGTGATGAGTTCTGCTTGAACCCCAGCTAGCTTGGATGAGCCTGAAGGCCATGCCTTGAAATTACCCTACACTTCAGTTCCTGAGGTGAAACAGGCTCAGACACTGCTAGGCTCCCAGGTGGTCTCACTTTTGAATAAATGTTCTGAAAATGGCATGTCTAACTTTGCCTCATGACTTACATGTACGAAGTATCAGTACAGTTAATGTAAATTTCAGAATTTAAACTCTTTGCAGATTTTTTTTTTGCTTTGTAATGGAACATATGGGATATCCGTGTGATTATAATAGGATCTCATAATTATTAGGTTGACTGTCCATTTTCTTAAAACATAGAAAAAAATTTTTGTGTTCTTGTATAAAATATTCCATGTTCTCTAACTACTTTATTAAATAGAAGGTTTATATTTTCTTTATAAAGCAAAACTACTTTAAAAATTCAAAATATGTTTTGAAAGTGTTTTCCACTTTATTGAGGTATAATAAACAAAAATTGTATACATTTAAGATGTACAACTTTGATATTCACATTGTGAAATGATTGTCGTAGTCCGGCTAACACACTTCGTAATAGTTTGTCTTTCATCTTTCTTTTTTCTCTAAGAACACTCAAATCTGTCTTAACAAATTTCAAGTGAAAGTCATTCTTTTTGACCTCAGTCTTGTTATTAGTTTTTAAGGCTGTAGTAGTGAATCCCGATTATAGATGCAAATGTGGGCCTCCAGACAAGACAGAACTGACTGGAGCCTTCTGTTCCTATCCTGGCTCTGCTGCTGAAAAACTGGGTAGTGCCCTAAACTTGGCACCTTTTCTTTCCATTTAGTGAAGAGTTCTACCTGTTTGGAGAAGGATCAGTGACTAAAATGTGCTGACTCAGTGCCTATGGAGGCTTTTAGAAGGTCATACTTCCCTCCCTTTAGTTTCATTACTAGAGTTTCCTTGACCTCTGATTGCTAAAATTTGACATTGTAGAAAATCACTTGAGAACTGATATTTAAAAATTATCCCTAGCAAAAATTTGTAGAATTAAAGGCCCACAATGTTTTTCATGTTTCTTTAATATATTGGAAATTTCATGATGTGAGATGAACTGTTGAAATCTTGAAAAATAATGAGTATTCTCAACTAGAGCCCCCTGGGAATAATTCAAAGTAATCATTTTTTATAAATTCAAAATATTGAAAAGAGAAAGAAGTGAAATGTTTCTGAGTCCTTGTTTCCCAGCAGGAAGGAAGGTTAGTCTGCACCGGATATTCCAAACCAGAATAGTCAACAGATAGTATTGTGTTTCTGAGAGAAAAGAGACCTGTCTAAAAGAAATGCATTGGTGGGCTCTCTCTTCCTTATAGTTGTTTCATTTTACGGTTTCACATACTGGATATTGGTGTTTATTAATAAGCTTTTATTTTTATTTTTGAAATTAATTTTATTGGTACATTTCAGGTATACAATATAATGACATTTATCATTGGGAATTTGCACCTTTATGTAATCTATCTTGGTTCTTATTATTTCCCCATTCCCCTGCCCTCCCTTCAACGGTAGTGTTTCTGTTCCCCTAGATAAGAGTAATCTGATGAAAGTAAGTATCCTGGTTTCAATGCAAAGTTGAAATTTTCACCAAAGCCATCCTGTTGAGCAGTGTAAGTGAGTACAAGGTTGAGGTCATCTGGCTATGTGACAAAAGACAGCAATTTACCAGAGTTTTCAAAACTCAATTATGTATTATTGGGAGTTTTGTTGTGTCATTTATAAGTCAAAGGAAGTAGGACTAGCATCATTGAGTGTGTGGTTTATTCCAAGGCATATTGCAAGTGTTATTTATTTTTCATTTAGCAGCTCTATTACTAGTTTTATGTCAATACAAGAACAATAATTAAGGCTCAAAGTGGCTAGGTAGTTTGTACATCACACAGCTTCTGAGTTTTGGAGCTGAGATTTGAAACCAAGTCTTTCAGATGTCACAGTTTTTGTTTTTTACATAATACTTTACTGTCTTCCTAATCCAAGAGATTTTGTCTTAGACATAAGCACAGAGACCTATTTATTCTATACTTATCATTCTATTAAATTAGAACTAGACCGAATGTGGAAATAGGAAGAAGGTAGACCATCCAGGGGTATAGTCCTGTCTGAAATGTTAATGTCACTATCACTGATTGATTTTTGCTGCTTTTAGTAGGAGCTACTCAATCTGTTTAGATAACATATTGGACGAAACACTTAAGTATTAGTACTTTGAGGAGTCACTATTAAGTAGGGTGACCATTCAGATTTGTCCAGGACCAGTGGTTCCCAGGGTACAGCACTTTTTTTGGGCAGGGGGCAGTAGCACTAGGGACTGAACCGAGAACTTTTGAACTAAGCTATAACCCCAGATCTTATTTTAAGTTTTTCTTCTGAGACAGGGTCCTTATAAGCCACTTAGTTGCCCAGGCTGGGCTTGATCTTGTGATCCTCCTGCCTCAGTTTTCCAGAGTGCTGGGATCACAGGACTGCACTGACACAACCCACGGAGGACATTGTTTTAAAACCTGGATTAAGCTAGGCTAGCTACTGTGCATATTCAGCTACTGGGAAGATGGATTGAGCCACTGAATTTGAGACCATCTCAGGCAACATAGTGAGACCCTCATCTCAAAAAACAGACAGACAAAACCCCTGGACTCTGGAAGCCTGTCTTTCAGGGCTAAAACCTGGAAAGTCCTAGGTAAACTGGGATAGCTGGTCATCGTAGTAGTAAGAGATATAAAATTCATTTCTTGAAACATAATCCATGCATCAAATTAAAAACTATTATCAAGTGGTTCATTTATTAAGTGGATATTTTTTAAATGCCTTAATAAATTGCAACCTCAATATGTTTAGAGTAGTAATAAAACCATTATTACATTCTAGGTTTATTAATGGAACATTTAAACTCAGATTTTTGTAGATTCCTAGAAATCACTTTTTTATTTTATTTATTTATTTATTTATTTTGGTAACGGGGATTGAACTCGGGTCCTTGCACTTTCGAGGCAGACGGCAGAACCACTGAGCTAAATCCCCGGCCCTAGAAATCACTTTTTTAAATGTGCTGTTTCTTTTTGTTCTCTGGCTCTTTGGTGAGGTGCCAAATTGCTTAAGAAAACATCCATGAAACTGGCTCTAATTAGAAATATAATCAGTCATGTATAAATGTGGAACTAAATGACATCTGTGCTATTTAATCCTTTTAAACTTTTGCAAAGGATTACTTCTGATTGGTTCCTGGTCTTAATAATTTAGAAGGTGGTACTTATTATACCATAACCTATAGTGTTAATCTTATCAAGAGTGCTAAGACTCTTTTTTTTCCCCCTGAGATCTCAGTATGTATTCTTGCATATGAGGAGTGTGTGTGTGTGTATATGTGTGTCTGTATTTTGTTTTCTGATATGATCTAAAAGATAAGATTCAAAGGAAAATGCAACTCTAAAGCAGAAACAAAGAATTCTGATTTACCAGAAATAACAAAAGTGTTTTCATGATATGAGTACTTTGTTTTGTTTTAAATAGATATATGTGAAAAGAGAGCTTTTTAGATCCAAATTGATATTATTTGCTAGGTTAATTATGCTCTGAAATAAATCTGAATGCTTATTGAAGTGGAATGGGGAGAATTAGAACCTGAGTAAGACAGTCCTACACAATTATGTAAGTATTTACTCAGGTCCTTCCTCAGTAAAACTATGAACCATAAAGTATTCGAATCCCAGTCAGGGTCAGAGAAATGATAGAAACAAGTGAGTTCCACACTTCCCATTTTGGCTGCTAGGAGGTGTTTGGTACTTCAGTCTTTTGTTTACCTGTTGTATGCTTATGTCATTTGCCTACCAGGGGGCCAGTCTTTCTTCAGCAGGAAGGATTCCATCCGTACCATTTATACGTCCCTGCATAATGAGCTGAAGAAGGTGGTGACAGGCCGAGGAACCCTAGGTGGGACTGCTCCTCATGTGGAAGAACTCCTCTCCCACCTGTCAGAGCAGCTCTGCTTCTTTGTTCAGGCTCGGATGGAGATCGCAGACTTCTATGAGAAGATGTACACCCTCAGCACACAGAAGTTCATCAATGCTGAAGAGCTTGTGGGCCTTTTGGACACCATCCTCAAGAAGTACAGCGCCAGGTCAGTTGAGGCGTGGGGTGAGAATGTGGCAGCCTTCTCAATCCCACGTGGCCTCTGAATTTTTTCTACTCTCATGAAGGTCTCTGGTGAAATAACTGTGAAGAAGAAATAATTGTGTTCCATTTTATATGTATTAATTCATCAACAGGTATCGATTAGGCTCCTTTGAGCTTAGTTAACATCATGTTGAATGGCTATTTCTGTAAGCAATAGCAAAACACTGAGAATGAAGTAATTATTAAAAGTTATATTATAATTGGTTTTGTTGCTTATAAAAGAGTTCACATCACAAGAGAATTGTGTATAAAATAATGTGACCTTTTAACAAACCACTATTTAAATAAGTATTGTCTCTTCCAAAATAGTAATCTTTGTAAGTTATCTGCTTGTTCCTCTGATGCAGCCATCACCCTTAACATATGTTAATGCCTTTTTTTTTTTTTTGGTACCGAGGATTGAACTCGGGACTTTGTGTTTGCGAGGCAGGTGGTGGAACCACTGAGCTAAATCCCTGGCCCTAGAAATACCTTTAATTGCTTTTAGAGCCTGTGATATATACTTTGGTTTGTTTTAAACTTCATTGGTGGAGGCAGGCATCTGCTTTTGAGGAAAACATACTTTTTTTTTTCAGATAGCCAAAAAATTATTTGGAGGTGAATTTACGTTTTTTTAAAAGATATTGATCAACTGAAAAGTTGTTTTTATTGGAAGGAAATTGCTGTTTATAAAGGAATGAGACTGGTTATGATCCACTGCTCACTGCCTAGCCAAAGAAACCAGTATGAAAAAAATTTCAGAAGCATTGTGAATATCATAAAAGTGAATAACTCAGTTTTATTTCTCTTTCCTTGGAGTCTGGCATAGTACCTGCATATAGGAGTTGCTAAATTTTTGTACTGATTGAAAAGTGATTTCTTTCAGGGATACCATGCATTTGGATATATGAAATCAGATATGTTTGCTTCAAATATAGAGGTAGACATGTTGATTATATTCCCAACTAAAGGCTAATACATATTTTATTAATGGAAAGGGGGAGTAAGAAAGAGTAGGGAGATTAAAAGGCTTTATGGAGAAGTTAGAATCTCAGATGAGCTTTTAAGCACGAGTTTCAGAGCAAAGGAAAAAAGAACAGGTGCTTTGAGGTGAGAAGGTATTTTCAGAGTACAAAAAGGTCTGAGAGATTTGGTAGGTGCTATTCTCTCTTCCTGAAACATTCTTGACCTAGTTGTCTTCTTATCTTTAAGTCTTAGTTTAAATGTCAGAGAAGCCTTTTCTTACTATGCTACAAAAATTATCTTTTGCTTAGTTACTATCTTAGTCTACTCTATTTTCTTCACAGCACTTTCTGCTGTGAAATTACTGTTATTTGCTCCTAGTGTTTTTTATTTCCTTTTCTTGTAAACTAGAATGTGAGCATTATGACAGCTTCTTGTGTCTTCAGAACCTGGAACAGAGCACATAGTAGATGCTCAGTAAATGAATGAATGAATAGTTGTGTTCCATATATAACTATTGTCTGGAATTTGTATTATTTGGCAGGTATTGAGAACTGGAAAGTTTTTAAACAATGGAATGTTATGTTCTCATTTTTGTCTTTGATTATTTGGCACTGGTGGGAGGAATGAGATGCTGGAGATGTGGTTATAGGAGGAAAGTTTAGTGTAGTAGGCTGTTAGGATAGGTAGCTTGACAAGTAATAGTAGAGCCACATTTGTTGCATGACAGAAACAAGATAGTGACAAAAGTCTGTTGGTCTTGGAAACAGGATGGTAGGGAGTAATGAGAGATTGCTGTAAAAGATAATTTGAAAGTTTAGTCCCCCCAAAGATAACGTAATTTACAGAATCAAAAGGTCAAGAGAGAGTGGTTTAAAAGGAAGGTAGTGAGGGCCGGGGATTTAGCTCAGTGGTTCCGCCCCCTGCCTTGTAAGCACAAGGACCCAAGTTCAATCCCTGGTACAAAAAAAAAAAAAAAGGAAGGTAGTGAATTAAATTTTGGGTAAATTGAGTTTGAGTTGTTAGTATGTTTCCAAGTAGATTTAGCAGGTAATTGGATATGAAAGGTGTTATAGCTTGTATCTAGATATTCCCCCAAAGCCTCATGCAGTCATAGATGGTGCTTTTTCAGAAGTGGCTGGATCTAGAGTGTGTGAGGCCAGAATTGATTCATGGTGCAATGCTAGGATGAAGGGCACTAGGATTAAAAGTGTGAGTGCTACCAGCCCTAAGTAGCCTGCTTAATATATAAGGGATAGAAGAGCTGTGGTCATCTCTTGCTTACTTTGCTGTCTTCTGCTCACCATAAACTGTTCTGCGATGCCTGTCTGCCATGCCACCTTGCCTTAGATCCAGCCAATAATGGACTAAAACCTCTACAAACTGTGAGCTTAACTTGTGGGTGTTGGGTATTTTGTTTTAGCAATGAGAAAAGAAATTAAGACAGAATTTGGTACCAAAGAAGTGGGGTTGTTGCTGTGACTATACCTGACCATGTGGTTCAGGAGCCTTTGGGACTGGCTTGTGGGAAGAGTTTGGAAAGGTTCAGATTCCAGCTGAAAAAGTAGAGCTGGAAAGCCGTAGGCTGTACTTGAGGGGAGATTCTGATTAGAGAAGACCAGAAGCCTGATAGAAATCCTGCTGGTAAAGATCAGGCTCTGGAGGTTTCTGCTCAGAAGAAGGACCACATTGGCTGTTGGACTCCAGACAATGGGTGTTATACTTTGGCAGAAAGTTTGTTGCATTTGCCTCATGTCCAGACTTTGCCTGAGACTAAGATTAAGGGTGGTGGACTAATTAATCTTGCAGAAGAAATTTTAAGGAAGTCTAATGTTGAGGCTGTGCAATGGCTACTGTTGGGGGCTTGCCAGATCTATGCTGAGAATCAAGAGCAAAGAGGCCAGCAGAATGATGTAAAACATGAGTTTGGCCAGAGAGGAAGCACCAGTAAAGCTGTGAGCTGCAAAGATAGAGCAGAGGAGATCTTGATTGTTGAGGAGGAACAGAAGAATAGAAAGGATGGCCTGAGGACATCACATGAAACAGCAGGACTCCAGCCTTCGCAGCCTCAAAATTACAAAAGTGGAAGACTTTGCTTTGAGAAGATAGACCCAGAGCTCTGTGTTCCAGAATGGCAGTGGCCTAGGGAAGTTGTTCCTCAGGATTTGGTTCATAGGCACTCAACCCCTGTAGCCAAGAGAGGAGGAAGCCTGGCTACTGCTCCAGCTGGCGGCAGACCTTGGCATCATCCACATGGTGCTGGTTTTAGGTACATGGAGATTGCAATAGTTGTGAGGTCAGGAAGGCTTCCACTCAGATTTTAGAAGAAGCCCAGGGAGGCCAGGCAGTGTGCCCCTGAGAGGGCAGTGTGTGAAGCTGTGAGTGTGAAGCCAAAGATACAGTGGAGACCCCAGAAGTTTGGAGAATCCAGGAATGTGGCTCATCTGAGGAAAGCTGCAAGGAGGGAGCAGAGCCACCCAAGAGAGAAGCCATGGGAGCTACTATCACCAGCAGTGCCAAAGGGGCGGAGCCACCCAACCCCATTGGAGTTCACAGGTTGCCTCCGATGCTGGATGTGAAACTACAGGACTTAATGTTTGCCTTGCTGGATTTTGGACTTGTTTTGGTCCCATTCCTTTGTATCCCCCTATTTGTAAACTTTGGAATGGAAATGGCTGTCTTGTGCCATTGAAGGTTGGAAGTGTTTAACTTTCTTTTCATTTGTAAAGAGGCTTACAGCTAAGAGTTTGCCCGAAATCTCAGAGGAGACTTTGAACTTGGACTTTTCAGCTGTTCTGAAAGTGTTAGGACTTTGTCTACTCTTGGAAATGGACTAAATGCCTTTTACATGAAGGGATGTGCATGAGTCTTTGGGGGGCTAGGGCCAGAATGTTAAGACTTGTGTCTAGATGTCCCCCCTAAAGCCTCATGCAGTCATAGGTGGAGCTTTTTCAGAAGTGGCTGGATCACATACTGGATCCCATTGTGTGACACTGGGATTAATTCATGGTGCAATCCTAGGATGAAGGGCACTAGGATTAAGGATGTGAGTACTACCCACCCAGAGTAGCCTGGATAAGATATAAGGGATAGAAAGAGCTGTGGTCAACTCTTGTTTGCTTTGCCACCATCTGCTCATCATGAACTAAAATGGGAATTATCTCTCTAACACACTAGACCTATGAAAGATGTATGTTGTAGCACAGATGCCAACCAGAGTCTGTAGCAAAAAGGGATGTTGCCTGGGATTTAGCTCAGTGGTTTCGCCGCCTGCTGTGTAAGCACAAGGACCCGAGTTCGATCCCCAGTACCGAAAAAAAAAAGAAATAAAGGGAAGAAAAAAGGGATGTTATCCCAGCAAAAGCAAACCATAGGCCTGCTGGTATAGTTCATTGGTAGAGTGCTTGCCTCAGCACACAAAAAAAGGCAAGACCACATGAATTTATACCACTGCCCATCAGATGCCTTAGATTATAGCCAAATTCTTAGTAAAAAGGAAGAAGCTTCAAAGAGAAATCATTGAAGATTTTAATTAGAAACCAAACAAACCACTCCATTTGTTTGAGCTTACTCTGTTTTTCTGATGTGGGCATTCACAGCTTTAAACTTCTTTTCTTAAGATGGCTTTCATTGTGTCCCATAGGTTCTGTCATGTTTACTGGGATTATCATTTGATTCTAGGAACTGTCTAATTTCTTCCGTGCCTCATTCAAGAGTGTACCGGGCCAGGGATTTAGCTCAGTGTTTCTGGCACCTGCCTCACAAGCACCAGGTCCTGAGTTTGATCCTCGGCATCAAAAAAAAAAAAGTATATTGTTTAATCTCTATGTGATTACATAATTTGTATGGTTTCTTTTGCTGTTGATTTCTGGTTTCATTGTACTATGATGTGATAAAATGCATGAGATAATTTTGGTTATTTTTTATTTCAGCATGCTTTATGGGCTAGTATGTAGTCTATTTTTGAGAAAGTTCTATGTGCTGCTGAGTGTATATTCTGTT